GTAAATAATAACATTACAGGAATTGTAGCAAGTGTAGAACCAAGAGACCTCCCACTTCCACCATCACCACTTAACTCTGCAAAATAAACAACAAAAGTTAAGTGTATTAACAATTTAAGCAAGTTAAGGATTAAAATATAAGTCATACCTTTTTCAAACCTCTCCAACTCTTCCAGATTCTCCTCAATACATAAAGGAGTATTTTGCTTTCTAAGCCAATCTTGTGTACACACCAATGCTTCCACAATTTTTGGAGTTAAAGAACTCCTAAAAGGATCCAATACTCTTCCAGAAGTACTGAAGGCAGATTCTGAGGCTACAGTGGAGATTGGAATGGCTAGGACATCCCTAGCAAGCTTAGACAGAACTGGAAACCTAGCAGAGTTGATCTTCCACCATCCAAGTATATCAAAAGATTCTTCCTCTTCAACTATTCCCTCACTCAAGTACATATCCAACTCAGTTTGTTTCTTACCCCCAGACTCCAATCTTTGCTTTTTAATACAAAATTACAAATATACAAATACAATTAAGGGAATACATCCATAAACTTACAAAGAAATCCAGATTCAGGGATATATTTTAAATATCCAGATGAATCAGAGACTGTTATAACATAAAAACAGCTCATTTCATCAACATCATTAACTGAATTTCTATGGGGCTTCCACCAATTAAAGCCTTTAAGAGACATTATAAGTTTATAACACTGAAATTTATAAGACTCTTATAAGTTATAACAGTCAGTGCTTCCACCAGAATGCAGAATATGAATCACAGATTGACTTAATCACATAAAAGTTATGAAATCAAGATACAATCTGGAACTTCTCAACAGATTGACTTAATCACAGTCCACAGAAATCAAAGAATCATAGAAACCATAATCAAGTATCATAACATCACAAACAAGGGACAAGTGATATACAATCTGGAACTTCTCAACAGATTGACTTAATCACAGTCCACAATTCAAAGAATCATAGAAACCATAATCAAGTATCATAACATCACAAACAAGGGACAAGTGATATACAATCTGGAACTTCTCAACAGATTGACTTAATCACAGTCCACAATTCAAAGAATCATAGAAACCATAATCAAGTATCATAACATCACAAACAAGGGACAAGTGATATACAATCTGGAACTTCTCAACAGATTGACTTAATCACAGTCCACAATTCAAAGAATCATAGAAATCATAATCACACACAGTCAGTGCTTCCACCAGAAATCCAGAATGTCACACAACATATCACAAAATAGATCACAAATTCGCAATAAACTCAGAGCAATATGCCAATAACTTTAAGAAATAACTTTTACAAAACTAGGGTTTGCAGTAACAGCTAACAAAGTCAGTGCTTCCACTACAATATCACAGAGACCACATAATACATCACAATAAATTTAAGAACTGCAAATATATAAAAATAGGGTCAGCGAGTTACTTCTTTTCTCACAAATACCCCAGAGAATGAGGGCTTCAGGCCTTCAGTTTACTGGAAGTCGACGACACCGCTAGTCCACCACAGCACCACGTCCACGACCACCACAGCACCACTACACCAGTCAGGGACTCAGGGCCTCAGGGCTTCCACCAGTGACCAATGTTTCGTCGTCTATAACAGAACCAACCGGACAAGGAGAGTATAGACTACAAAGAAGGTAGTCTTTGTCTAGTAGAGAAGAGAGAACTGAGGAGTGAGGACTAAAATCGCAAGGTGCGACTGCGCAGAGAACCAGAGAGAACTCAGAGTCTCAGAGAATGAGAGAAGAGAAGCTCTCGTCTGGAAACCCTAGCAAGAGAAGAGAATCAAGAGACTGACTGCGCAAATGTGAAGTTAGGAGTAACAACATATATATATATATATATATATATATATATATATATATATATATATATATATATATATATATATACTAAGCCTAAACGACGTCGTATTGCTATCTACGTACGCAACCCTAGTTTTAAATCGGGTATTCGAACGGATCGGATGTATTTTTTACCCACCCTACCCGAAAACCGTAAACCGACGTCGTTTTAGATGTCGGTTTGGTTATGCGAATCGGGTAGCGGTTCGGTTCGATTTGTCTTGATCGGTTCACGATTCGGCCAGTTTTTTTGGTTTGTTTGGATTCTGCTCAGCCCTACACCGCATCTACCTCTGTTGTCTTTAACTTGCATTTTCAAGGGATGCACTTTGCGCAAGCAGACTCACCCTTATCATTTTTAATCACGACACACAAACCCATTTTATTGTTAATGAGGTCACAAGGCGCATCAACATTTGCTTTCATTCAACCATTCATGGGTTTGCTCCAAATTTCTATGCTAGGCAGAGGATGTGACTGCAAAAAAATAATAATAATAAAAAATAAATAAATAAAAAGTAAATTATGGTCGAACCTCCCTCCAATTAAACAAAAGAGTCTTTGATTTCCGTACAAGATGTGATACCTTGAGAATTTTACTAGTATTTTTTTCATGAAAATACCCATATAAATAATTTTACATTTTTACTCCTACGAGTATTTCATTACTTGTGATTTCAAAATAAATTATTATACTATAAAAATTTAAGAGTAAATACCCAAAATGATCTCTCGACTATAGTTAAATTCACAAATTAGTCCTCGACTTTCAATTTCAACCAATTAAGTCCTTAACTTTGCAATTTTAACATAATTTGGTCCTCTGTCTATTTGATCGTTTGTTGACTGTGATTTTTGAGGATATATATATGTAATTTCATGGTCCATCGTCGGGTTTTTAAGTTCCGGTTGCATTTCCAGACCGCACTGTTACATTTGAATCCATTGCCCAAAGCAATCTACCAAATCCGGTCGCCTTTCTTCATCCTCCCTTTGGATTCAATGTAGTTGAGTTCGTACCAGAGCGAAGAAGACGACGTGTTTCCAAACCGGTGCAACGTCAACCTGCAGGCCTCCACGTGCTCTGACAAGAGCTGAAGGTTCTTCTGGAGATCGTCGATCATGGTCAACAAATGGTCAAATAGATGGAGGACCAAATCGTGTCAAAATTGTAAAGTTAAGGACTTAATTGGTTGAAATTGAAAGTCGATGACCAATTTGTGAATTTAGCTATAGTCGAGGGACCATTTTAGGTATTTACTCAAAATTTAATTACCTTGTAGTCTAATGGCACCAAGTTGCTCTCGCTGCCTCGCATATGGGAGGTTGCGGACTTACGGGTTTGAACCTCAGTGAATGCGGTATTGACTCAATTTCTCTAAGTCTTTTTACTTATTAAAATTTATTTATGGGTGATTCTCTTAGGGAACTCAGAAGAATTTGTCAGAAAATTCAACAAACTCTTGAAGGAAGGGAAAATTTATGATAAACTCAAAAGAATTTGTCAAAAAATTCACCAAACTCTTGAAGGAATGGAAAATTTATGATATTCAAAAACTCTTGAAGGAAGGGAAAATGTATGATATTCAAAATTTCGTTATGCAAACCTCTCGCAATGAGGTTTAAGTCATGCGATCACAAGTACATTATGAAAGCGAACAATGACACTTTGATTAGCATTTCGGATCAAGATGATTCCGATTTTCCCAAAACACATGTTTAAATTCAAGGATTTTGGATCGTTTAATTAAAGGCACCCGAAGGTGTGGATAACAACCAGTTCATTGGTTGTTATTACAATTTCGTTCTATGTTTGGTGTTATTTACATCCCTTTTTGATATTATTCTAATCCATTCATAACTGCAAACTTAAAATGGGTTGGTTGGTTTCACAGATTTGATTAGACGTGTAGTTTTCATTACTGATCCAAAAGTTATATTCAAGTCAATCAAAATCCTAAAAGGCTGATTGATTTCGTCTTAAAGATTCTCGGTATGTATTTTTTAAAATGACTTATTTATTTGTATAAATATACATAGTCTTTATATTGACATGGATTTGTTTTTACTCAGAGAGAGTCGGTTGACGATAATCTTGTAGAACGAGCACGTGAATTGTATCTTGCCTTACTATAATGCTGATTTGGTAGATTCATTGATCGTTATACTACAGCTTTGTAGAGTTAGGGTCAATGATGGTAAGTAATAACCCAACGGCAGAGTTAAAGTTCTTTGATACGATTATACCTATTTACAAATGCTTTTATATTAGATGGTGAGGTAAGGATTTCTAGTTCCTACACTACAACGAAGATTTTTTTCAACTAGGAATGTCCCGAGTTTTTCAATTCAAGGAGAGGTAAGGATTTCTAGTTCCTACACTACAACGAAGATTTTGTTCAACTAGGAATGCCCCGAGTTTTTCAATTCAAGGAGAGGTATTGGCACAGTATCACTGAATATGGATCGTTGGACGCTATGTTGAGTAAAAATATCACAGTCACTTCTTTGAAGGAGATTTATGACAAGAAGAATGTCAAAATCACAGTTAGAGAGTTTCTACTGAATTTGTTTGAAGATTCAACCAGTAAAGTTTTCACGCAATTTACTTAAAATTTATAGTTAGAAGAATTTTGAGTAGTTGGAGAAATTATAGACACAGAAGGCGATTGATACTTCAGTGCATGTAAGAGTAAGGGTTGTGAGAATAAACTTCAAGACTATACGGACAAAATGTACCATACGACATGCGACAAACACTGGACAGACAGAATCATTAAGTATAAAATGGTCATTGTTGTCCTGGATGATGACCAAGATGGCCAACTTCTATTAATTATGCAATTATTTGCTCGAATTCAAGTAATGATAACATAATAAAATACAATCGATCCAACTCAATTCTTCAATTGCATTATATAATATTCAATGTTATAATTTATATATTTGTATATTTATCCAAATATTTTTAAAAAATTTTAACAAATTCATTCATCGCATCGCACGAGTAAAATACTTGTTAATTTAATAGAGAAAAAGTCTCACTTAAGACTTGTTTTACCCGTTGAAGTGGACAATTTGGAACAAACTTGAAGTGTAGTCTCCCCCTACTTCACAACTTGAACAAATAACTAGAGAGAAAATCACCTACAAGAGGTAAAAGCCAGGCATGACACTGCCGACAAAGTAAATTGAAAACGATAGATGCTTCGAATATTTTTTGTGGTAAATTATTTTCCTTATTGGTGTGAAAGTAGCCATGTAGAGAGATTCGTTGATTCCTGTGCACCATGGAATTTGAAGCTTTACTAGACGTCAAATTTAGGCTACTCAAGCTCGAACACGCGTAATGATGAGGGGCCCTCCTCCAACTAAAGTCAACGCAGCGCCGGCGGTCGACGACGACGGGCACAACGCCGCCGTCCCGGGCATTGGGAGTGGACTGCGAAAGAAGGCGTCGGGAGTCCGGTCATGGCTTCTACTGGACTCCACAGGGCAGGCGCAGGTGGTGGAGGCCGGAAAACACGCCATTATGCGGCGGACGGGACTTCCTGGCCGCGATCTTCGTATACTGGACCCACTTCTCTCCTACCCCTCCACCGTTCTCGGCCGTGAACGAGCCATCGTCATCAACTTGGAACACATCAAGGCCATAATCACCGCCCAAGAGGTCCTTCTCCTTAACGCCAAAGATCCCTCCGTTGCCCCTTTTGTTGAAGAGCTTCAGCGCAGAATCCTGCGCCACCACCAGGCTACCAAGTCCCAGGTCTCTCTCTCTCTCTCTCTCTTTCAGTGCTGGAGAGTAAAAATTAGGGCAATAAATGCTAGATTGTATTTTGTGTTTTTGTAATTTTAAAATATTTTTACTAGGAATCCTTGCTAATTTTAGCACTTTGATTGTTCCATTTTATTGATTATATATATAAAGGCTACCTTGAATCTGTAAAATTTCTTATAAGATGTGGTGATAATGATGAAGGAAACTGGAATTGGAGGCAATAATGTAGACTGGGGAAACCTGTATGCTATAGAAGATTCACAATCACAAAGAGCTAGCCGTTCAAACTATCCAGGCAAGGATGAGGAGGGCAAGGGAGATGCAAATCAGCAAGTTGAAGATAACCGGGATGGAATCAAGCTTCTTCCCTTTGAATTTGTTGCCCTAGAGGCCTGCCTAGAGGCCACTTGCACTTGCTTGGATAGTGAGGTATAGTGTTGTGATTCTTTCATTCCAGTAGCCTATAGCATTACTCATCTTTGTAACTCAGTTTTCTCGAGTTGTTGTTTTTTGTTGTCTAATCTCAGGCGAGGACATTGGAGCAGGAAGCTCATCCTGCTTTAGATAAACTGACTTCAAAGATTAGTACTCTGAACTTGGAGCGTGTCCGTCAAATTAAAAGTCGCTTGGTGGCAATAACTGGGCGCGTTCAAAAGGTATTCTAGTTGTCTAGTCCTATGTGGTTTTTCTTGGGATATATCGTATATAAGATTGGAACATATTTGTTTTTAGGTAAGAGATGAATTAGAACACTTACTGGATGACGATGAGGATATGGCAGAGATGTATCTGAGTGACAAGCTTTTCGAAGTTGAGAGTTCTTCGGCTTCCTCCATGAATGAGCAAGAAGATGGCATGGATGATGAAGTTATGCAGTCAGATGTGAATGACAGGTGTGTAATATCGTTCTATGCTCTGCCATTAAGCTTGCTTCTTTAGAAATAAGAGGAAAATCCTCCTCCGGGAACCTGATTATCGTTCAATTCTCTGTTTGCTTGTCTCTTATTTTCTCCGAGTTATATAATCCCATGCCCGCTGTTTTGTGGAATATGTGTATTTCATAATTATCTGAATAAAATCAGGTGGATGCACCATCCAGTACACTCGGGTTTCCTTTAGTAAAATCATGAAGCCTTTTTGTTCTTCTATGTTTTCTTGGAGAAAGTATTCAATTCCATCTAAACTCCCATTTTGTTGGGCAGAGGCCGGTAAATGGCCAAATCTATCAATTGGTGGCTAGGGATTGTTGGGCAGAGGCTGGTAAAGGGCCAAGCCCAGCACCCTGCCTTTCGAAAATGTGATGGCGGTCTGCCGGTCTATAAGGAAATAAAGTTACGTCTTCGCTATTAGCTATAGCTTTTGGCATAGTGGTCAACGTTTGATCCTAACACGTTTACTCTTCCCTTAAATGAGATCCCTTCTCGGTTTCTCCTTCTTCAACACTCTATTGGTAAAAACACCATGGGAAGACAGATTGAGATTTTCCTTTCATATATATGGTGTAACAGGGTTCCTGGTGAAATCTCCATTGAAGGCAATGGTGCTGATCCAGAGATCGATTACCCTATGGAAAGAGTAAACACGCTTGGGCGAGATAGCCACACAACACGCACAAGTACAACTCGCAGCGCCATAAGCAAGCATCTCAACGTGGAGGAACTCGAAATGCTCCTAGAAGCCTACTTTATTCAGATTGACGGCACACTGAACAAACTCTCCACTGTAAGTAATTAATTAACCTTCATGTTCGAATAGACATTCGTTTTCGTTTGTGCTGGCACTAACGCGATCTCGTTGAACCTCTCGAAAGCTGCGTGAGTATGTGGACGACACGGAAGACTACATCAACATCATGCTGGATGACAAGCAGAACCATCTTCTGCAAATGGGGGTCATGCTGACGGCAGCAACCCTCGTCGTAAGTGCTTTCGTGGCTGTGGCTGGGGTTTTCGGTATGAATATCACTATTGAATTGTTCAATCCTGATATAGCTGGGATGCCGGAGTTTCTGTGGACAATTGGGGGTGGCTCCGCGGGCTGCATTATCCTATATGTAGCTGTAATTGCGTGGTGTAAACACAAGCGATTACTGGACTGACTGAGTGGAACCACAACACTTGCTGTAGTACCAGTCATTATATTTCACTCAATATGCAAAATCGAGTTTAAATGCTTCATGACAAGTCTAAAAGGATAGTTGATGATATGATGTATGTTTGGTGTTAATCTTGTACGCTACTCAGTTGGATGGCCTGTGGTATACACTTTAGTTTCTTCATTTGCTTTTCTCAAGTCTTCAAACTCGTTTGGCTGGGAAACTGACATACTGTAAAATTTTAACTGCATACTTTGTGCTTGTAGTTAATGGAATGTTTGGCAAATAATTGTTAGTTTATTAATTTAGTGGGTTTGAGTGGTTTATAGCTAGGGATGACAATTCTACTCGCATCCTCGTCCTTATGGATTTTTAAATGCCCGCACAATTTGAGTGATGGGTGCGGGTATGGAGGGAATTTTGTATATCCGTGCGGGTATGGGGTGGGTGCGGGGAGGTATCCCCGCGCCGCACCCGCACTTATATATATATATATATATATATATATATATATATATATATATATATATATATATTGTTATTAGTATTTATCATATTTTATAATTTAAAATGCATAATGAATTAAACTTCTTAGTTTCCTGTTAATAAAAATTGAATAGAAACAACACAAATAAGGAGTAAACACTTAATACAATTTATACTACCAACACAATTTTACTTAAAAAAAAAAAGAATTAACTTCATTGACTCTTATTAAATTTTAGTGTTATGTTGAAACTTATAAAAAAATCCATGTGATAATTAGAATTGTAGTATAAAATTTTTATTAGATTTAAGTCTAATATTAATAATTAGAGTTCCAGGTTGTGTATTAACAGCACCCGCAAAATCTCCACGAGATGGGTATGGCATAGGAATTTCATTACCCGCGCGAGTGCGAGTGCGGGTGCGGGGAGTGGGTTGGGAATGCGGGTGCGGGGGTGGGAGAGATATCCCCACACCCACCCCTCGCCCGCCCCATTGCCATCCCTAATGATAGCATTAGTTGATTGAAGAAAGATGTTTGGTAAATTAGCTATTAGCTGTTAGCTGATATATAGTTGATTACATGTAAAATGACTTTCTCAAAAAGCTGATAAAAAAAGTTGCTTTAAACAGCTTTTTGAATTTTAACATTTTAGAGTAATAAGTTTTTACAAAAAGCTAATTAATCAAATATTTATACTGAATATTTAACTCAATCAAACAACTAATAGTGGTCAAATAAATCAAAATATATTAATAAGTTAACTATGTTATTAAACAATGTTAATATATTATGTGATGTAGTTAACATATTATGTGATTTCAGTTTATTTACAAATATATAATCTGATAACTGCTGACACATAATATACTAACTGTAAATAAATAATTTAATCTATGATATAATTTGCTTATATATATTATATGTTCAACAAAAAACTCATTAACTTTTATAGACTTTTAAAATTCATCCTTATGCTTCCAAACTTGACTTTTTGTGCGTGTCTAAACTTTGTATATTTTTTCGTGACGTCTGGAAGGCGGTGTTGGCAGCTTCATACGAGAACTTAAAAAGCCTTCCGTTCACGAGCTGGATGGAGAAAGGCATCTCAGAGAATGGCAGCGGCCGGTTTCCCTTTATGCCCAGCACCCTCTTCGCCACAACGATCTGGTGGGTGTGAAAGTGGAGAAACGAGTTTGTATTTAACAGCTCCTCAAAGTTGACTGGATTCGGGCGCAAGTTGAGCATACCTGTAAAGCTTTCGCAAGAGCAAATGGTTCTTTAAGATCTACTGGAATGGCGACATGGAAGCAGCTCTGTTGGTCCAAGCCACCAGAAGAGTTCGTTAAAGTTAGTGTGGATGGCTCGGTATCCTCTAACAACAAAGCCACCTATGGTGGAGTTATCAGGGATCATTCAGGTGCTTGGCTACATGGCTTCACCTATACCATCGGGAATTGCTTGCCATTTGAAGCTGAATCTTGGGCCCTGTTGAAAGGCATCCAGCTCACCATAGCCATGGGCTACACTAAGGTGATCTTCGAGTCCAACTCTGAGGAGGTAGTATCGTACTTGACAGGATCAAAGCCCCCATGCATTACGACTCACAATATCCTAGAGACATGCAAGAACCTTCTCCGTAGAATGGAAGTATGGCAGATCAACTTCGTTCTTTGGGAACAGAACCGGGTAGCAGACAGCATTGCGAATTCTTCCAGACATCTCCCGGCTGGCCTCCATGTTCTCACTGATCCACCGGCTACGCTGGGAGGCCTTCTGGAGGACGACATTTCTGGGATTCCTCTGTGGCGTTTTGTTCATGAACCTGCCAATAGCTTGTAGCTTAGTTTTTCTTCCGGCATCACCCTTCCAGTAAATAAATAAATAAAAAAAATTCTACAAACATATTCTTTTTGCCTAAAATCTATTGACCTGTAATTTTCTTCTTTTCTAAACTCTAAGAACTTTTTCTACCTTCTTAAAAACTAAAATTCTACACTTTTTCTTTCCCTAAATTCTAGAAATTATTTTTCTTCATTATCATTACTCTACATACTTTCTACCAATTATTTTTTTCTTCATTATCATTTTAATCTTTCCAGCACACACTAATAGGGAAAGTCATTTCCTTCAAGTTAGCCACTAAAAACACATTTGAGTATTATTATTTTTTAGTGTTCTAGCAATCAAAGTCTTCATACACATTCAAATATTCAACTGATATTGTAATGTTAACACGATTAACTATCCTCTTCCTCAATTCTTAATTATTATTCTTTTTTTTATTATTCTTTTTTTTACATATAATTATGTAAGGAGTGTTATAATTTTTTATTTATACGTTGACCCCTATTATATATATATATATATATATATATATATATATATATATATATATATATATATATATTAATTAGTGGTGTCAATTTTATTAACATTTCTCAAAAAAAAAAAATACAAATATAGATAATAAGTTAAAAATTTTCACTGGTGTGAATTTATAAGGTAGCTCCACCTATGACAAACCTAAATTGTAATTAGCTCAATCATGAGGATTAAAAAGTGAACTCCTAAACGAAACTATAAAGTAAAACACTAAACCATAAACTAAAAAATTTGGTCTTTAAGTGCGCTGCAATATAATTTCAAATTGGCTAAAAATACACTATAACTATATAATGTTCAAAAGTAATATGTATAGTTTGGAAAGTGAACTTTTAAAATTAGAGAAATTTGTAAAAATGACACTGAAATTTTTTTCATCATTTGGTCTAGAACTAATCTTAGATTTGGTTGCCAAGCACCTTGTACTTAGATGGTATGTAGTGATCTCTTTCTTGTGGGAGGTCATGAGATTGAGCCACATCAGTGGAGATGTTGTTGATGTTGTTATGTTTGAACATCTACTACAATGTAATAGAGTCAGTACCATTCAAAAAATTGGTTCTTAATTTTCTCTAAGAGCTAGTTTTTATATGATACTTAACATTTTTTTAGAAACACATGCATTTACTAATTTTCCTAACAAAGTTGTTATTGACAAACACATTTTCAAGAAAAATAATTGAAAAATAAGAAACCATAAGTTTTAAAATAAAATATTAATAATGTATATATTTTTTAAAAAAAAACAAAAATCAACAATATAATATTTTGGGAGGGTAAAGAGAAATTAATTAAAATAAGACAATTAAGGAGAATTGAAGTATGGAGAGGTGGTGCAAGTGTATGTGAGAGAACCCACACCACATAAATGGATGAGCTGAGGGTGCTCATTTAGGTATAGTGATGCAATATAATGCATCTCATCTATTTGCCCTATCTCTATCTCTATCTCTATCTCTCTTTAATTTTTGTTTCTGCGGCGTTCTACAATCTCCTTAGCCTCTCCATAGTCCACCCACTCAACATTCAACAATAATGAGCCATTACAATCAGGGCCAGCCTCCCGTTGGTCTTCCTCCTCCCCAAGGTACGTACACATACACATATATATGCATGCATGCATTTTTGTTTTGCATCTCATCTGATATATACATATATTTATATATGCAATCGATCTGATGAATTTTCTGGTTTGGATCGATCATTAAATTGTTCGTAGGTTATCCGCAACCGCCGCCGCCGCAGCAAGATTCTCACGACAAAGATGCAACTCCCGGCTACCCTCCTCAGGGCTACCCGCCCCAACCCCAGGGATACCCTCCCCAACCCCAAGGATATCCTCCCCAAGGGTACCCTCCTCAAGGGTATCCTCCCCAAGCCTACCCTCCTCCGGGCGCGGGCTACCCTTCTCCAGGTTACCCTCCTCCTCCTCCTCAAGGTTACCCTCCCCAACCGGGTTATCCTCCGCAGTATGCCCCCCAATACGCTGCGCCGCCGCCCCCTCGCCAACAACAACAATCCGGCAGCTCTGGTTGTTTGGAAGGATGGTAATAATAACTTTTTCATTTTTTTAAAATTTTGTCCATTCACCAAAATCTTCCTAAAAATGTCCATATATGCATCATTGCATCTGTATTATATTGGTAATTAGATCCGGTGATTTAACTTAATCTGATTTAACACAAATCACGCCTGTGAAGCAGATCAAGAAAAATACTATGTGTATTCTCAATTTGTATTCCCACACACCAAATTGTAGACATTTATATTGGGACCCACAATTAAAAAAAATAGTTTATCAGTACCCATCACATCAGAAAGTAAATTTGAGAATGCATATAGTAAAACTCTTTAATTCAATTTTTTGGAAGAAGATAATTTAATTAATGTTTTCTCTCATAACTCCCTCTTAAACATTGATGTTTTTTCTATTCCTTATTCATTATTGTGGTAAAAATAAAAACATATTTTGTCACAATAAACAAAATATTTATGGAACATGTGGTCTGATCTCTTGTTAGTGCAAGATTTTCAACGAGGTTAAAAAGTAAAAACCATCTAGCATACGCATTGGCATGCATGCACATTCATGCATATATGCCAATAATATAATCCTATGTAGAAATTTCACCCTAAAAAATAAAATAAAATAATCCTATGTTGTAATTTTGCAGTTTGGCCGCACTGTGTTGTTGCTGCCTCTTGGACGCCTGCTTCTGACGTTAACGCTTCAATTTGCTCAGTTAATCCGAACAACAACGTACGATGCCTGCATATATATAGATTATGGATCATATGTGAAGGAAGACTTTAGATAAAAAAAAAAAAAAGGATTAAATCTCAACCGTAAATCTAGTCCAAATCAAGAGTCTAGAATGAAAGAAGAATTAAAAAACATGCGGTGGTATTGTTGTAAATTTGAGTTGTCAGTTTAGATGTTCTTTTTCTTCGAGTGCATATTTTTTTCTTCTTCGAGTGCACATTTTCCTTTCGAGTGCATATTTTCCCTTCTTCGAATGTATATGTTTTGTCTCAGTACTTAATTTTCCCTTTAATTTGAGTGCAAAATTTTAACCTTTGAGTGCAAAAATCACTATTGGAAATTATGGAATTTCCGACCACTTGAAAATGATCTTAAATTAAGTTGATATCAAAAAGTCCAAAAAGTGGCCGGAAATAGCAACAAAGGTTTTTCCGGATACCAAAAGTGGTCGGAACAAGGCTTTTAACTTGATTTAAGATCATTTTCAGGTGGTCGGAAATTCCATAATTTCCAGTAGTGAATATTAGTTTTCAAGTGCACATTTTTATGCATTCAAGTGCATATTTATGCATGCGTCAATGTTTATTATATGTTTTGCATTCTTTTCAATAATTACTAACTAAATTTCTAATTTATGAGATTTACAAACGATTTGTATGGACAATTGCTTCAATAACACTTAAGTTGAACAACTTTTCTTTTTGTTACCATCATTTGCATCGATTGAACATATTTATGCCTTCGAGTGTCGAATTTTGGCCTTCGAGTGCACATTTTTATGCCTTCAAGTGCTTATTTTTGTGTCTTCAAGTGCACAATTATATTATATGAGCAAGTGTTTATTATATGTTTTGTCTTCTTTTCAATAATCTATAACTAAATTTCTAATGGAATTTGTGATATTTACAAACGATTTGTATGGGCAATTGCTTCAATAACACTTAAGTTGAATATTTTTTTTTTGGTACTATAAATTGATTCGATTGTACATCTTTGTGCCTTTAAGTGCAGAATTTTGACCTTCAAGTGCACGTTTTTGTGCTTGTAAGCGCACAATTTTTGTTAATTCGAAGTGTAATTTTTTTTTCTTATTAAAAGAGCAGTAGATCTGGATGAATTTAATGACTGAGATCTGTGCGCATTTTTCATCTTGGGAGTCCTTCGCACTTGATCCTCTGTGTGTGTGTGTGCGCGCGCGCGACTCTGTGTGTGTGTGTGTGCGCGCACGCGACTGTGTGTGTGTGTGTGTGTGTGTGTGTGTGTGTGTGTGTGTTACGAATCATATGCGAAGGAAGACTTTAGGTAAAAATATAGTGTTCAATCTCAACCATATATCTAGTCCAAATCAAGAGTCTAAAATGAAGAAGAATTAAAAACACGCGGTGTCATTGTTGTAATTTTGAGTAAGTAATTTTTAGATGTTCTTTTCTTCAAGTTCATATTTTTCCTTCTTCAAGTGCGTATGTTCTGTCTCAGTACTTAGTTTTTCCTTTTGAGTGCAAATCTTAATAACTTTGAGTGCAAAAATTTGGCCTTCAAGTGCATATTTATGGGTCAATGTTAATTATATGTTTGCATTCTTTTCAATAATCTATAACTAAATTTCAATTCTAATGAAATTTGTGAAATCTACAAACGATTTGTATGGACAATTGCTTCAATACACTTAAGTTGAATAACTTTCCTTTTTGCTACCATAAATTGCTTTGATTGAACATATTTTTGTCTTCGAGTGCAGAATTCTGGCCTTCAAGTACACATTTTTATGCCTTCAAGTGCATATTTTTGTGTCTTCAAATGCACAATTACGAGCAAGTGTTTATTATATGTTACGTTTTATCTTCTTTTCAATAGTCTATAACTAAATTTCTAATGGAATTTGTGAAATTTACAAACGATTTGTACGAGCAATTGCTTCAATAACACTTAAGTTGAATAACTTTACTTTTTGGTACCATAAATTGCTTCGATTGTACATCTTTGTGCCTTTGAGTGCATAATTTTGGCCTTCAAGTGCACATTTGTGTGCTTTCCCGTGCATGTTTTTGTACTTTCAAGTACACAGTTTTTTTTAATTCGAAGTGTTTTTTTTTTTTTTTTTAAGAATAGTAGATTTTGATGAATTTAATGGTTGAGATTTGTGCGCATTTTTCACCTAGGCCAATTTTCTCTGAAAAAAAAAATGCGTCATTATCTTTTTTTTATCATTTACTTTCTAAATTTACTAAATTTACTAAATAACTACTAAAGAAATAATACATAACCATATAATAAGTGTTAATTTCTTATCCTTTTTCGGACCTATATGTGTCATTCAACTTTTAATCATTTTTTTAGAACATCTATATTTGTCATAGCATTATTGTGGCATGATCATATTTGATCCTCCGTCAACAAATATGTTTAAATGACATTCAAAATGACGTTATTAATCACTTAAAATTAAAAAATATAAGAAGAGCAAATACATAAATTTGGCATACCTATTTTGTCGCTTTTGCCTGCATTTTGCCTTTCATCCATAAAATGAATAGTTGCAACCAGGGACGGAGCCTGAAATTCGATTGAAGGGAGGCGAAGAAGTATGACGGATTCAGAAATTTTTACAATAAAAGCGAAACATTAAAATAAAAGATATAATTTTAAAAAAATAAAATAAATTACCTACCTAAGATTTGTGTTTTTTTTTTTTTTTTTTTATAACCATTACCTAAGAAATATAGTTGTAAATATTGTTGGATATGTGCGAAAAATAAAACACGTCGAAATTTTATAAAAATATTCATAACAAAAAAACATAATTAATTTGATAAAATTATTCGAATTGAAAACACATTATAAATTACACATCTCAATGTTGTGTGTGTGTGTGTGTGTTAAATATTAAAAAAGTGACTCTGTTGAAGCCATAGGGGAAGAACTCAAAAATATGTAAAATTATGTTAATGCAAGAATTTGAACTTAAAACTTTTCCTATTACCAAACACATACTCTATCAACTAATCTAACTCCTTACTTGTTAACATTTACTAGTTTTTTATACTAATACTAAAACCTATAATATATATACATATATACATACAAATATTATATATGGGGTGGGTGGGGGTGGGGTGAGGGGGGGGGGGGGGCAGCTGTCCCCCCTTTGGCTCCGTCCCTGGTTGCAGCTTCACCGGTATGGTATTAGGGATGCGGACTCTTGGTTCGCCGCGGAGGCGCTGTAGATTACACTCGAAGAAGATGGAGACTGACCCGTGAATTATTTTTTTTCAAAAATAAAAATATAACAGGTTAACTCACTTTGTATTAAAAAGATCGAAGAGCTTGTATTTGACGTTATTTAAATATATTTGTTGATAAAGGATAATAAATTGTCATACCACAATAATGCTAGGACCAACGGTAATATTTTGAAAAAAAAATGGACTAAAAATATAATGACACATAATTCTATGACTAAAAATTGAAAAAGAAATTAACACTAGGATTAAAATGTCATTGTATTTAACAACATTTAAACGGTTTTGTTAATGGATGACTAAAAATTATCATGTCACAATAATACTAAAATTAAACAAGAGTACTCTTAAAAAATGATTAAAAGTAGACTACGCATATAACTCTAGGACAAAAAATGAAATTAATTATATTTCTAAATTACTTTCAAACTCAACCTCCTAATAGAGAAAAGCGATATTGTGCACGCTTCAATAATTAGAGAACTAAAAGTGATAATTTTTTGTTAATATTTTTTTTAGATAAGGATGATTATTTTGAGTTTTAAATAGAAAATAATATATAAAATAATAATATATTTATTGTCACATTTGGTCCTTATACTATTATTCACTTATCACAAATTGGTCCTAAATTATTAATATTGTCATTTTTAGTATGCAAGTATACTTTTGTTGTCACATTGGTCTTACCGACTATCGACTAGATCTTTGACAATTACTTATTGAAAAATCAAAATTTTATCTCATATAGAGTTGCTACAAGTGCAAATTTTACTAATAGTATTGTGTAATTAAATTTGAATGAATGATGTTTCCTTGTAGTAATCTTGAAAGAATATTGAGAAAATTTTTACATTTTTCGGCAAGTAGTCATCGAAGATTTAATCGATAGGATTAAATGTGACAACATAAATATAATTATACACAAAGTATAAAAAAATCAAAATCAATAATTAAAAATAAAAAGTAAAAGTAAAAGTAAAAGTAAAAGTGAATAATAGTCGAGGAACCAAAAGTGACAATAGTTAGGTACTAAAATAGTCAAAAAACTAGGTGTCGTTTACTTCATTTCTCTGTTTTTTTTTTTTTTTCAGTTTTTCATTTCTCCAGTTTTTCTTCTCCATTTTTCCAATTTTCCATTCCTCTAGTTTTTCATTTTTCTAATTTTCTGATTTCATTAAATTCAATCATCCCATATAAAATTTGTACATTTCCACAAAGATAATAATACTAATAACAATAACAATAACAATAACAATAATAATATAGTTTTTTAGGACATAATAATATAGTTTGATTACAAAACAAAATACGCAAAATCTCATTAAATACAATCATCGTTGCATATAGCATTTTTATATTTCTACAATGAATAATAATAATAATAATAATAATAATAATAATAATAATAATAATAATAATAATAATGCATTTGTATATTTCTTCTACAAATAATAATAATAAACTAAAGAATTATAGTAATAATAATACTAGTAATCAAAGAGTGAGGAAGAGGTAGGCGCCCTAGTCAAAAAGAATAGCAGAGATAAAGATGAGGCACCAGCAGGGTTCAAATCTTAGACCTCTGGGTTGAGCAACATTATTCACCCGCATCCTTCCATTTCTCCATTTGGAGAAACTTGTTTACAAGTTCTCCAAATTTTTTAAGGAATGTGAAAAATGGAGATAGAATATAGTTTTGGAGAAATAAATTTAGTAAACAATTTTTCCAATTTTTATTTTTCCACTTTTTAATTTCTTCATTTTTTTAAAAAATCCTCCATTTTTTTTTTACGTTGGTAAACAATTCCTAACTAGTTTAATTGTAGTGAGTGATCATACACTCTCATCACTTGAAAAAGATCGAAAGTTCAAAAATCCCTCTTATAAAAAAAAAAATCAATATAAATAACACTTTGTTCCCTCTCATATAGTTAGGTGCCTACTCATATCATCTTGTGGTCGAAAAAAGAAAAATTCAGAACAATTTATATACTTGCCTAGACGTGTAAAAAGAAAAAGAACAGGAAATAACACTTCAGACTTCAGAGTTCAGACAGGGCACGTCCAAATTCTGAAAGCTCTGAGCATCAATCGCTACATCTGAACGACTTTTCTGGTGATTTTCAAACTTTTTAAACGTTTAATTGCTTTTTACCAACTGAACTCTGGTTTTGCATTTGGAAATTTTCTTATTGATTCAAATCTAGGGTTTGTGTTTGGGCTATTGCAGAATATGATCTCAGATTGAAAATTTGTCTGGAAATTGATCTCTATGATGATTCATTTTCTCTTTAGTGCTTATTAATTTGCAGTGCGACCACAATGTTTGAATCTTTTATTGTGATTACCTTCACCAACCCCCCAAAAAAAAAAAATCCTTTTTCATTTTATTTTTTAAATATGGAGAATTTCTTATGCATTGTTTTTTTTTTTAAAAGGTTATGTTCTTGAATGAGTGTCTTCAGTGCAAAAATGGAAGGAATTTTTGTCAATTTTGTGTCTCCTTTTTGCTAATTGATGATCTCAGCCAAATAAAGTTGGTTGATAAATTGTATTGGAAGTTTTGTAATGTGATAAGAACTCATTTTATCGTTACAAAAACTCCATATCAAGGATGTAGTACTTAAGATTCTTACTATTTGGACTTTGTTTAAGTGATACTGCTAATTAATTCTGTTGGCTAGTGTTGGCTATGAATGATAGCTTGTTCACGGCCTTGAGGAGATAATCAATGCAATGGTAACTTCAAACTGATACCTGTGGCATGTGCGAACTTCTTCATGCCTTCATTTGATCAGGGGACTAGACATGGAATAGCTTTGAATTACATGTTTGTGGCATTTTTTAGATTATGCCCTTCATATAATGATATAATGAGGGTGGTCCTGGTCTAAACATAGTGTTAATTATATTGGTGTAATGTTGGTTATACAGGATAACTCTCCCATTTCTAATTATCTTTGTCCTTCGTCTCCCTTAAGACCTCTTTCCATAAAAACCTTTAATGGGTGCACCTAAACAAAAATGGACTTCTGAAGAAGAAGCTGCTCTTAAAGCTGGAGTACTCAAGCATGGACCAGGCAAATGGCGCACGATCCTTAAGGATCCAGAATATAGTGGAGTATTGTATCTTCGTTCAAATGTAGATCTCAAGGTAAAACTTCTCATTGTTCTACATATCATCTATTTTTTTCAATGGGAAAAAGAAGTATTGATTTCCTAGGGCATTAATGATAGAATAATCCCTCATAGTGCTTGTAAATATGTCTTATTGAGTTAGGCTCTTCATGCATTTATTTCTGTTTGATATGATTAGGACAAGTGGAGAAACATGACTGTGATGGCAAATGGCTGGGGATCTCGAGAGAAGTCAAGATTAGCAGTTAAAAGGATGCACCGAACCTCTAAACAGGATGAGAACTCATTGGCTCTTACAAATGTAGTTCAAAGCGAGGAGGAAAGTAGTGAAGGCAAGAGAGTTGAAACTTCTAGTGGTTCTCCACAGAATGGTGGCTCAAAGAGATCCATCATACGGTTGAACTCCTTTTTTATTACTTTTATATGGCACAATCTTTTTATTACAGTTGTAAATTACTTGTTTTAATAAACTATTCATTTTCCCTGTGAATGTGACACTTGAAAGGAATTCTGCTTTTGGTTCTTCAAAACGTCTATTTGGCTTTGCGTGTCTTATGATTGTTTTTAATTTTATATTTCCATTTTCTAGAATAATGACACATTTTTGTAAGTTTCCTACTATTATGATTTTCTATAAGAGATGTCTGGAGTATTAACCAAATATTTCTTATGCTAGAAATTTAGCACCCTCGGTGAGTTGGTGTTCCCCCAGAAAAATTGGAAGTTGCATTGTTATACCAGTCTAACTATGTTTAAGATGACTCTATTAACCATTGCCTCTTTTCTTTGTTATAGGTTGGACAATCTTGTTATGGATGCTATAAACAACTTGAAGGAGCCTGGTGGATCAAACAAGAAAACTATTGCTGCATACATAGAGGTAAGTCTCTTCTTAATTGAGCATACTCTCAGAAGAATGAACAATGGAATAGCCTTAGGCTTGGGGTAGTGGCCAAGAGTGCACCTATGGATTGTTAGGTCACTGGTTCCAATGTTCAACTCCTGTAAACTGCCTCTGAGTACAAAAAAGATTGTGCATATCCTACCCAGACCGGAGCCTTACACAGTATAGCAACCTTGCATATAGGCTTCAACCTTTTGACTACCAACTTGAAGGTTTTCTTCTTGACTAGTGGACAAGTTTATAGTAATGATGTAAAATATAGGTGTAAAAAAATCCAAGCTTGATCCCATAATGTACTTGGCTCATACATTGTAACGGAGAAGAGAAAATTGGAGTTTGGTTTAACTAACTATTCAAATGGTACTGAAATTGGATGTTATGAGCTGAGCCATATCTACCCTCTGTACAGCCTGGTTTTTGACAGCTGTAATATCAAACATCTTGAAGCTATTGAAGTTCAAGGGTCATGCACGGATTCAAATATGCTTAGGACCAACATTATTCATATTTTGTTTGTTTCAGCTTGTTATTCATTATACCCAGAATTGTGTTCTTTGTTTTGTAGGATCAATACTGGGCACCTCCAAATTTTAAAAGGCTACTTTCTGCAAAACTGAAGTATTTGACTGCGACCGGGAAACTTATGAAGGTGATATTATACTTTGTCTGCATTTAAATCTGTGAAACAATGTTTTGTTTTAAAACAAGGAATAATTTTCAGAAATATTTCTTTATTTGGTCTCTTCAGGTTTGATCATAATACTGTTGAGTGATTTCTTCTTTTGCAGATGTCACGGAAATATAGGATAGTTCCATCTTCATTGTTGTCTAACAATACAAGAAACCCTCCCATTCCAATCTTAGAGGGCAGGGAGAGAATCTTGCCTAAGGTTGATCGGTATGATATTGATATGCTCACTAAATCTCAGATTGATTTGGAGTTAGCCAAGATGAGGAGTATGACGCCTCAGGAGGCAGCAGCTACTGCTGCTCAAGCTGTTGCCGAAGCTGAAGCCGCTATAGCAGAAGCTGAACAGGCAGCAAGGGAGGCAGAGGCAGCAGAAGCTGATGCAGAAGCTGCACTAGCCTTTGCAGAAGCAGCAATGAAGACAGTACATGGGAGAAGCACCCCTAGGATGGTAAATCCTTAATTTCTTTTAGTTATAAGGATTTTACTTAGTTTCTTCCATTCTCTTGCTTCCGTTTTAGTAGTTGTTGATTCTCAGTAAAGAGATCATAGCTCATAACTCCACTTGGCTCCAAAGGGAGCCCTATTTACTTCATAAAAGACTGTTTAGGATTACATCTTACCTCACAAAGGCATTTGTGCTTTGTGGAGCAATATGGATAGTATGCCTGAAATGGCCTCCATATATTTTTCCTTGAGCATTGTTTGTTTCTTTTTCCTTTTAGTTGGTGGTTGTTATCTGGCCTATCTTTGCGATGTTTGTCGAATTAATCTTCAAATTGGTGGTTTCTATAGTCCATTGGCTCTTCAGCAGGATTAATGATTGCATTATCCAAAAGATGTTTTCCCTCTATAAGCTATTACTGCACATGCATATATACTACTTAATCCTTCATTAACTGTTTTTCTTTTTCCTGAACACATTTAGATGATTCAGGCTTGATGGATTTCGCCAAAGGAGAATCCCGATCTCGTAGACCTTAATCCAGATCAAAGGGCAGATGAGTTTCCAGACATCTCACTCTTACTCCACTCTTGTAAATATGGCGGATTTTCCGGTGACTAGAATCAGGTGGTCAATTTGTAACCTTGAATGCATCTTCTGGCTGCTGACAAGCTTGGATATGTTGTGTTTTCCTTTTGTTTTTTGGATGTTTCTGTTTAGGTGTTGACAGATAGATAAGCCGGTAATCTGTAAGGGAAAATCTTGGTGGATATAAACCAGGAACACTTGTTCAGGTAAAATGGGAAAGGGGAAGTTTCAGTCTTCTGGTAGTATGGGAACCTTCTTCATAGAAATCCAGGCATTCATTGTGCTTAGTCGTAGAAAATGCTTCCTCAATCTTCACTTAACAGGAAAAATGTTTTTAGTTTTCATTTCCTTGGCTTCCTTTTGTTGTTGAAATTTTCGATTTCTCATTGGAAATTGTTGTGTATAAAACATGTTCATTTGTAAAATTTTAATTCTTTCAAAAGTTAATTTAGGTGTTTTTTTTTTTTTTTTTTTTTTTTTTTTTTTTTTTTTTTTATGCCCAAAGGTTTTTCTCTTCTCTCCCAAGAAACATTGACTCTTGACGATGAGCAACATTATATTTTTATTGAGGTTGTATTTGATACACAACTTTTTGGATTAGTTTTTTGCTATTTGACTTACTTTAGTCAAACAATCATGCTTTGGTCCTTTTCATTTTTCACTGCATGATGCGGAAGGCCCAATTTGATAAAATAGTTAGTCTATAGGTTAATTTTGATTTATTTAATCATTGTTAGTTGTTGACTTTTAAAAAATAATATAAGTGTTTGGTTAATTAACTTTTTGTAAAAACGTGTTTGGTAAATTAGTTGTTAGCTAATAGCTCTTTTGGTATAATTTTTTCACTTAATTTAAGGGGGCTTTTTTTTTTAACTTAGCAGGTGAAAAAAAGTAGGGGAAATCAGTTTCCTAGTCAAACAATTACAAAACAATGAAAAAATGTTTGGTGGCGTCGCGATCAACGGTCCCTAACTTTCGTAATTACCATCCGTCATCCTCCGAGTTGTCAAAAGTTACCTTCTAGCGTCCTTCCGTTACTTCCTCCCGTCTCAGCCGTCAAAATGGAGGGTAATATTGTCATTTGACTTATACGAAAAGAGTTAATACCAGCCAAGGTCCCTCGAGTTTGGTGGTTTAGCCATCTTTAGTCCCAAGTTTCCATATTCCATTATTTTCCCTCTTTCATATTCTCTTCTTCAAATGTATTATTATTACTGTTATTTATAGTTATTATTAAATTCTTATTATTATTACTATTATTTAAAGTTATTATTGTTATTATTAAATTATTATTATTATTGTTATTGTTTTTTTTTTTTTGGTATAAACCCACACATTGTGGTCCGGGTCTTTCTCTGTCCGTTTAACGGTCCAGGTCCACCCGGTTCGCTCCGAGAGGCACAGAAGCTAGCCCAAAGGGAATCGTCACTTGTGAGAATTGAACCCGGGTTATCCCGGAATTCTCCCCCACAAAGAGAGCTCATTTGCCACTATTATTATATTATTAGCATTAAATTATTATTATTATTATTATTATTATTATTATTATAATATTCATATTCATATTATTATTATTATTATTATTGTTATTGTTATTATTAAATTATTATTATTATTATTATTATTTATTGTTATTATTATTTTTTAAAATTATTATTACTATTATTATTATTATTGTTATTGTTGTTGTTTTTGTTGTTGTAGAAATGTACAAATGCTATTATTATTATTATTATTATTGTTATTGTTATTGTTATTATTATTATTATTATTATTATTATTATTATTATTATTATTATTATTATTATTAAATTCTTATTATTATTACTATTATTTATTGTTATTATTATTATTATTATTATTATTATTATTAAATTATTAAATTATTATTGTTGTTGTTGTTGTAGAAATGTGCAAATGCTATATAGGATGAGTGTATTTAATAAAATCAGAAAATTAGAGAAATAAAAATCTGGAGGAATGGAAAAATGGAAAACTGGAAAAAATGGAGAAGGAAAACTGGAAAAATGGAGAAAGAAAACTGGAGAAATGGAGAAATGAAAAACTGGAAATGGAAAAACAGATAAATGAAGTAAACGACCCCTATACATTTGTAAATTTTCTTTAATATTGTATAGGAGAAGAGGGAGTTCGAGTTGAAAGTTGAGAAACCACCAACTTTCTTTAACAGCGCGTTTGGTTCACGGAATGAATTTGGAGGGAATAAGAATGCTATTCCTAGGCATGCTATTCCCATGACAAAATGATCCAACCAAACGATGGAATAGGTCTATTCCAAAGAATGTTATTCCATTCCTGACCTATTCCATGAACCAAACATGCCATAATATTGTTTGGCCAAGTTTGGGACTAAAGATGGCCAAACCACCAATAATAATAATAATAATAATAATAATAATAATAATAATAATAATAATAATAATAATAATAATTTAATAATAACAATAATAACAATAATAATAATATGAATATGAATATTATAATAATAATAATAATAACAATAATAATAATAATTTAATGCTAATAATATAATAATAACAATAATAATAATAATTTAATAATAGCAATAATAACTATAAATAATAGTAATAATAATAAGAATTTAATAATAACTATAAATAATAGTAATAATAATACATTTGAAGAAGAGAATATGAAAGAAGGAAAATAATGGAATATGGAAACTTGGGACTAAAGATGGCCAAACCACCAAACTCGAGGGACCTTGGCTGGTATTAACTCTTCTTGTATAAGTCAAATGACAATATTACCCTCCATTTTGACGGCTGAGACGGGAGGAAGTAACGGAAGGACGCTAGAAGGTAACTTTTGACAACTCGGAGGATGACGGATGGTAATTACGGAAGTTAGGGACCATTGATAGGTGGTATTTACTCTTTATATATATTTCAATATTAGTTTAAATATGAAAAGATCATACTTTATATATAAAGGATATAAGCCATTTTTTTGGTTGAAAGTTTTTCTTCCTACGTACTATTAAATTTGTTGATTAAGTTACTTTTTAATTCATTAGACACCCCTTCGATGATAGTTTTATAAGCTTATTTATTAGAAAAGAAATTGCATATATTATATAAAAATCTAATTTTTGTAAGCTATTTTAAATCACAATTCAGAAGAAATGTAAAAAGATAATCACGTACATTATGTGGAATCCAAGTTCTTCCTACGGTACATATGCTTAGTAGTCAGTCAGTTCCTCTATTTGATAGGAGTAAACAGGCAAAGCATATATAGGTTAATGAGAACTTGGATGGTGCCCTAGAACACTAATCAATTATACCGTAATATAAATAAATATTCACTCCAATCTATATCATTATCATTTATCAGTGATTCATGTTGCAATGTGAACACACAGATTACTTTTAATTTTGAAAATAATAATAATAATAATGATGCACAAGCTAGCAAAAATAATGTGTATTATTATGTAGGAAAAAGAAAAAAAAAATAAAAAAAACAAGAAAGACAAAAGCCAAATAATGAAACCTCGATCAGCTCATCATACAAATTAAACATCATATCATCTGCGCGCATGCATTATATGGGCAAAAAGCTCGCTCCGATCCGGGGATCACTCGGCGGCCGCGATTTCTTCAGGTAGGACGGAAGCGGCGGCGGCGCTCTCAGTATCACTGGCACTAAAATTCCCGCTACCTTCACTGTCGAGCTGGCTATAATTGCCCTTCTCCTTGAAGAGTTGAATATGGTGATGCTTGCAGTAGAGCCTCCCCTCGTAGGCAATATAGTTAGACGGGCTGATGGTGCACCCCGCGTGGCTGCACTTGAAGCAGGCCTTATGGTACGCCGTGCCGTTCACGCTGATCTTCTCCGTCGGGTAAACCGTGAGGGTGCAGGTGACGCATTTATCCGTCGTCCCTACAAAGTGCCCCGACGGCACCCTCCCAAGCCTCTCCCCCGCGTCCACGGGACCCGCACCCTTCTCCGGCCGCGCCACTTTGGGGATCCCTTCGAAGCTCTTGTCCAGGCTGCCGGTTCGCTTGAACAGCTGATCAAAGTGCGGGCGGCAGTAGAGAACCCCCTCGAAGGAGTTGAAGTTGCTGAGCTTGAGGGTGCCCTTGCAGTGGTAGCATCTGAAGCATGATTTGTGGTAGACTCTGTTGTCTGCGGCGAGGCGATCAACGAGATACACGGTCTTCTCGCAGGCCATGCACTTCTGGTTTGTTCCCTGAAATGCCATTGTTTTTTTGAATTGGAATTGTTTTTATTTTGGAAGATGGATCGAGCAAGGCGGGTAGATGAGAGAGAGAACAAGCTTGTTTTATTCCTTTTGTTCTCTCTTCCCCTCACTCTTTTTGAGCTGAGCTGATGATGAACAAGAATGCAATTCCATGGAGCTTTAATAAGGAAAAGTTGAGAATAAGATGAGAGAATGAAAAGGAATACCACACAAGCTGAGGGGTTGGGCGTGAATATCGAGGAGTTTGGCCATTTCCACTCCACACATAATAAATACATAATTAACTTATTTGACTTGGTGGGTGTAATGCCAATTTTTTTTAAGTCTGAAAAAGAATTATCAATTAGGCACATGGAGGGACAACTCACATTATTATTGGCTTTTTTAATTATAAACGACTTAAAAAAACAACAAGGGCATTTGGTCTAGTGGTATGATTCTCGCTTCGGGTGCGAGAGGTCCCGAGTTCGATTCTCGGAATGCCCCATTTTACTCACAGTTTTCCGACACTCCTGTCCTGTCTTCTCTCTTGTAGGTACACCGTAGACAGCAGTTGACTTTGTAGGGAAACGAATTGACGATAAAGCCCGGACAGAATATGCTCAGAATCCCCTTATCCCAAATGCACAGTCAAATAATAAACGATAATAACATTTCTCAATCTGGGCATTTGGTCTAGTGGTATGATTCTCGCTTTGGGTGCGAGAGGTCTCTAGTTCGATTCTCGGAATGCCCCATTCACACTCTTTTGCTGCTCCAGTTAACAATTGGTAGAAGTGAGCGAGCAACGAAGTTAAATGACTCATATAAAATTACACATTAAACTGATGTGTGGGCATTTGGTCTAGTGGTATGATTCTCGCTTAGGGTGCGAGAGGTCCCGAGTTCAATTCTCGGAATGCCCCTTACACGTTTTACCTTCTGCAGAGACCGGCTGGAAATACACCATCACCTGCATAACAGAAACTTAATTTATGACGCCAATCTTAGTTCATTCTCATTCCAAGGAAAATAAAACAAATACAAGTATTGAAGTCTCATAATGAAATTGCAATTCAGAAAATATTGATGAAACCAATACAAAAATAAAAGGATCCAATGGTTGCTGGTTTAAATCTATAATAAGAATTCACATTGTCATTGCTAAAGTTTTTTAATTCAACAATAGTATGTATTGCATAATTGTTTATAATGTTTTATAAAAAATCTATGTTTTATAAAAATCTATGTAATCTTTTTATAAGGTCAGTTTTTCTAATTTGATATATTAACTTCTAAATCACCCAACTATGCCCCTATATGCAGTAAGGTGGATGCTATATGATGGTTTCTGAGTTTTCGGGCCCAAGGAGGTCCAACACAACATTTAGTTGGAGGATATACCTTTCAATAAAATGCGTATTTGAGTGAAACAAAGTACTTGTTTTAGAATTGGTATTACTCCCCCCTCTGGGTATTTTTTCTGTGTGTCCTTTTACAAGAGTGGAGGAGCCTTTATATAGCAGGCTCCTCCCCCACTGACTTGAAGGCCCTTAATGGCCGACTTCAAAGCTAATTAAAGCATCGAGTTAATTGGACGTTATCACTAGGTTGGCCAACGGCTCTCTCAAGCCTGTAACAGCCTGACTGAGTCCTGCTTTTAATGCCCTAACGGTTCCTTTTTGAACGAGTCTCCTTAATGCTCTCAACGGCTCCTCGAACCGAGTCTCTTCTCGGGCTTGGGCCCTGGTCGACTCCTCGTCCCGGCCCAAGCTCCCACTGGGCTCCTCTTAGCAGTTCTGAGCTAGATTCCCATGCTTGGGCCTGGACCGACTCCTGGACTCGGCCCAAGCGCCCTCCGGGCTTCTTTTGACGTTAGCCCATCTTTTCTATCTCGGACCCTCTTCTTTGGGCCAATCTATCTTGGGCCGGGTCCCTACCCCATCACTATACAAATTACAAAGTAAACTAATCAACAAAAAGGTTAGTTTAATCAATAAATTAAAAAATTATGGCTGGCGAGTTTTAAATTTAAATATTAAAAATATCAATACAAAAAGGAAAAGTCAAGATCGAGATTAAAAAAAAATACTTTAATGACACATGACTATTGTAGTGACAAAACAGTATTACAAGTTAATTGAAAGGCTTCAAAAGGAAATTGTTCGGCATCCTCAATAGTGAGGTATTTTGGATCAGTTTTTGAGGTGCCAAATATGAGAGAGGAGAGAGGAAAATGTGAGAAAAAAGAAAAGGGGAAAAAGCATTCCCGAAACATATATATATATATATATATATATATATATATATATATATATATATATATATATATATATATATATATATATATTTTGTATTTACGCGCCCAACATGGCACGTGACGTGCACGCGGTCGACTGGACTCCTTTTGTGCGCCTCACGCTAGAAGGAAGGTGTCTCTCTCTCTCTCTCTCTTTTAATGGGACCCATAATTATGAAAAAACCTTGGTCTTTGTAGGGAGAACGCACCCCCTCCCTCTTCCATGTGGCAAAAAAAATCTACAAAAATCAAGAAAAAACCACCTATTGTGGATGCCCCACATTACTCCTTTTGTAAAATCTGTGGCATAAACCTTTTGCCTCCATATTAACCTACATGTTAACATTACCAAAACAATTTAACATCCTGAAAAATGATATAAAGCGTACAATGAAAAAAAAAATTCACTTCGACAAGAAAGTCGAAATGACAAGCACACCTTGTATAGATTCAAAGTCAACTTATCTTCAATACATACAAGAAAGATGTGATATTAAAAGCTTATATAGCAGGGCATTTGGTCTAGTAGTATAATTCTCACTTTGAATGCAAGATGTCATGTATTCACTTTTAAAAATGTCCTAAGTGTGTAACCTAATACTTTTCTTTTTAATGAATCCAGATACAGGTCAAAACACTCAATGAGGTATTTATTCAACCAATCAATGCAAGGGCATTTGGTCAAATTGGATCCTAGGGTGTGAGAGCAGAGATGTCCCAAGTTCAATTCTTAGAATGTTTTGATTTCCTTGTTTTATTGTTCTAATTAACATTGGACACAAGTATATAACACAATACTTTTTTTATTGGATCAAGATACAGATCAGAATACTCAATAAAATATTTATTCAATAAATTAATGCAAGGGCATTTGGTCTAGTGGTATGATTCTCGCTTAGGGTGCGAGAGGACCTGAGTTCAATTCTCAGAATGCCCCATATACACACAAATTAAGTATTTATACAACAACAAGTTGCGAATGTCACGGAAGGGGCATTTGGTATAGTGGTAATTGTCGTGTAGAGTGCGAGGTGAGTTTTTTTTTTTTTCCACACACAAATGCCCTTTCGCAACTTGTTGAATAAATACTCTATTGAGTGTTTTGATTTGTATCTTGATCTATATTTTAATGCAAGGGCATTTGGTCTAGTGGTATGATTCTCGCTTAGGGTGCGAGAGGTCCTGAGTTCAATTCTCAGAATGCCCCATATACACACAAATTGAGTATTTATTCAATAAGTTGGTAATTGTCGTGTAGAGTGCGAGAGATCATGAGTTCAATATACTTGAAACCATCCAATACCCTAACAATATACATTATCACGTTGGATTTTTTTTTTCCACACACAAATGCCTTTCCGCAACTTGTTGAATAAATACTCTATTGAGTGTTTTGATCTGTATCTTGATCTATATTATAATGCAAGGGCATTTGGTCTAGTGGTATGATTCTCGCTTAGGGTGTGAGAGGTCCTGAGTTCAATTCATCAAAATGCCCCATATACACACAAATTGAGTATTTATTCAACAAGTATCTAATACTCTAACAATATACATTATCACGTTGGGCCTAATGGAATGCTCCATTTTTTTTCCACACACCAAATGCCGGCAAATTATGTCCTGGACCCGTGTCCACAATGAATTGTGGATACGGGCCCAAAACGACGTCGTTTTTTCAAAAAAATAAAAACGCGTCATTTAGTAAAAAAAAAAAATGCGCGTGTTTTGTCGTTAACGACGTTATTTTTTTTTTGAATTATGAATGTACAGTTATGCCGTTATGAATGTACAGTTATGCAATTATGAAATTATGAACACAGAGCTTTAACATTATGAACTTACAATTATGAACATATAGTGATAAAATTATGACCATGGAGCTTTAAAATTGTGAATATAGAGCTTCGAAGATTATGAATGTACAGTTATGGAGTTATGAATGTACAGTTATGGAGTTATGAATCTACAGTTATGGAGTTATGAATCTACAATTATGGAATTATGAATGTACAGTTATTGATCGAATTATGAACAAAGAGCTCTGACATTATGAACTTACAATTATGAACATATAGTGATAAAATTATGAACATAGAGCTCTAAAATTGTGAACATAGAGTTTCGAAAATTATGAATGTGCAATTATGAAGTTATGAATGTACAGTTATGGAGTTATGAATGTACAATTATGGAGTTATGAATGTACAATTATGGAGTTATAAATGTACAGTTATGGAGTTATGAATGTACAGTTATGGAGTTATAAATGTACAGTTATAGAGTTATGAACGTACAGTTATGGAGTTATGAATGTACAATTATTAACATATTGTAATAAAATTATGAACATGTACTCCTATAACGAAGCGGTCTGAAATTAAAAAAAAAAAAAGAAAAAAAAAAGAAAAAGAAAAGAGAGAGAGATAACAGTGCCGTAGGCACTGTTACCCGTGTCCAGCATGCATGCTGGACATGGGTCCATAGCATAACGATGGCCAAATACCCTTCTGCAGCTTGTTGAATAAATACTCTATTGGGTGTTTTGATCTGTATCTTGATCTATATGTTAATGCAAGGGCATTTGGTCTAGTGGTATGATTCTTGCTTAGGGTGTGAGAGGTCCTGAGTTCAATTCTCAGAATGCCCCATCTACACACAAATCAAGTATTTATTCAACAAGTTGCGGTATGTATTGAATAGGACATTTGGTCTAGTGGTATGATTCTCACTTAGGGTGCGAATTGAAAATCAACTATTTTTTGTTCCATTTCCTTTATTTTACCAAACACAAATATGTAAGACAATACTATTTCATTGGATCAAGATACACATCAACACACTCAATACGGTATTTACTCAATAATGAGTTAATGAAAGGGCATTTGGTTTAGTGTTATGATTTTTGCTTAGGGTGTGAGAGGATTTAAGTTCAATTCTCAAAATGCCCCATTTATTATAATAATTTTATAATTTTTTTACTTACCAGTTGCAGATGTCCAAATCTTTTATAATGTTAAACATTTTTGTTTCAAGAAAATTAACAATGCATAGATCACTACAAAAAAAAAAAAAAAAAAAAAAAAAGTATATATATAGTGACAGAATTAGCGACGGGCCTATTCCTTTGCTAAATTAACGACGAAATATCGACAAATTAGCGACGAATTTTATTTTATTTTTATTAGATCTACATGTAGTGACGGATTAGTGAGGGATTTGCGAGGGATATTACGACGGAATATTTCCTTGCTAAATATATAGCTAATTTTGGCGCAAAAAACAATGACAGATTCGCGATGGATTTTTCGAGGACGGACTCCATGATTTTAATTGCTATAGATTAGCGACGGATTTATGATTCCGTCGCTAAATATTCAAGTGAGTAGTTTTTTATTTTTACATTTTGGCGACGGATTTGAGAATCCGTCACTAAATTTACAAGTGGAATTGATTAAGGAAAATTTTTCCATATTAGCGATGGATTTTAGAATCCGTCGCTATATAGCGACGCGCTATATAGCGACAGACACTAAAATCCGTCGCTAACAGTAAGAATTTTTTTTGGACATATTAATCCAAAATTCTTAATTCAGTCTCTCCCTAACTCTAATTCATAGTCGCCAGTCTCCTCTCGTCGTTGCCGCCCACCATCTCCAGCCTCGCCATTGGTCGTCCACGGCGTCCGCCTAGCTCTTTGCTTCGTCGCCACTAGCCGTCCTCGGTCATCTCTGCTCTGCCTATCTCTTCTTCGTCTCCACAAGTAATGAGTATCTCCTTATCCATTTGTTTCGTATATGCTCTTCAGTTTCTTTAATTTCACGTTTTTATAATTTTATTGTGTAATATTCAACTACATTAATCATGTTGTCAACACCTTAAAACACTCAACTGATATAAGAAAGTGTTAATGTATTGCTTTCCTAATCTTTTGGTTCTTTACAAAAATATTCCTTTCTAGAGACTTATTTGGCATCACCTGTCTATTGAACTAAATAGTGATGTATTGGGATTTTTCATGTATTGACTTTCAAAATAATAATCTAGGACTAAACATAAAATTGTCCCAAATAATAATGAATTGAAGTTAAATTTTTCTTTAGTATTATTCACTCTATTACAAGGCAGTATATGTTTTATATTTTCTCTATATATTTCAACCCATAGAGTTAATACCCCACACCGAGATTCGATCCTCTACCCTTCCCTCAAGAAGATGGACAAATGTATCATCTGAGCAATTATTATTGTGTGGACCATGGTCTACACAAGTTGTATAGACCATATTTTGTATACTGTAAAATAATGTACATTCAACACAAAAATAATGTACATTCATTACAAAAATAATATACATTGTATTTAAGGATGTACATTATTTTTGTAATGAGTATACATTATATTGTATAATGTGCATACAATACAAAAATAATATACATTTAGTATATTAAAAATCTACGTTTTCATCTTCTCCCAAAAGGTTGAATTTCCAACCTTAAGCCCCCATCTCCCCACACTCCGACCCGACCGAGTATTTGAGAGGAAATTAACTCTTTTCATAAATTTACGGTTAATAGATTATGTATCAATACCAAATTTATTTATAATTCTGCTAAAAAATATATGCCACTAAAAACATAGCTTCTAAAAATTTAGGATACGACGTAATTTTCAACCATAATCCATTTATATAGGAGACAAATTATTCTGTAAACTCGGGGTTGATTTTGCAAGGTGAATTCGAGTTTAAAAATACACAATTTACATATTAAATGTTCATAATTTACATACTGAATGTTCACAATTTATATACTGAATGGTCACAATTTACATACTGAATGTTTATAATTTTTATATACTGAATGTTCACGATTTAGATACTGAATGTTCACAATTTAAATATTAAATGTTCACAATTTACATACTGAATGTTCACAATTTTACATACTGAATGCTCACAATTGTATATACTAAATGTTTCACAATTTACATATTGAATGTTCACAATTCAAAAGTGAATATTTAATAGAGTAAATACCCAAAATGGTCCCTCGACTATAGCTAAATTCACAAATTGGTCCTCAATTTTCAATTTCACCCAATTAAGTCCTTAAGTTTGCAATTTTGACACGATTTGGTCTTCCATCTAATTGACCGTGATCGATGATCTCCAGAAGAACCTTCAGCTCTCGTCGGAGCACGTGGAGGCCTCCAGGATGACGTTGCACCGGTTCGGAAACACGTCGTCTTCTTCGCTCTGGTACGAATTCAACTACATTGAATCCAAAGGGAGGATGAAGAAGGTGACCGGGTTTGATAGATTGCTTTCGATAGTGGATTCAAATGTAACAGTGCGGTCTGGAAATGCAACCGGAACCTTAAAAAACTGACGATGGACCATGAAATTACATATATATCCTCAAAAATCACAGTCAACAAACGGTCAAATAGACAGTGGACCAAATTGTGTTAAAATTACAAAGTTAAGGACTTAATTGGGTGAAATTAAAAGTTGAGGACTAATTTGTGAATTTAGCTATAGTCGAGGGATTATTTTGGATATTTACTCTATTTAATATATAAATTGTATATTTTGACCCGAATTCACCTTCCAAGGTGGATCCGAGTATATGGCATAACTGTCGCAAAACGTATGGACCAAACTGTTAAAAGTGATAAGAAAGCCCAGTAGGCTTGAATTTTGGTATTAGTACCGGTGCCCGGATACCCTCCATCTCGGCTCTACACTACCCGGAGGAGTGTTAGCATTTCAGCAGCCTGAGTTTGTAGGCATTCATCGCCGCCGATCTGTAATGTCTCGGCTTGAACGCCGCGATTCTGATCCCAGACGCCACCGGTCTCGATTCGATCAAGAACCGAGGTAATTGCCCTGCAGCGCTCCCATTAGTGTATATAATATTTATGTGTGTATATATTAGATGTATACGAAGACCATATTTCTTCTTCTCTGTATGTGCGTCTCTACGGTTGCGGTGGTGAATTTTTGTAAGTTCTGAAAGATTGGGAAACACTTCAGATGATTGATTCATTGTTCTGATGGAATGTCGCGGTCTGTTGTTGCAATTAGTTGCGAACATTTGGCTTCCATGTGTTTGCCGATGAATATTCTGGATTGGGAATGGAGGATGTTGAAATTCTTTTGTATTTTGCTGATTAACTAGGTTCTACAAGCCCTGATGTGCCTGGGAACAGTGAATAGATCCTTGTCCTTGGTCTGTTGAGATCTCCTTAATATTGATTTTATTGAATTCTGGTAAAAATGTTCTGTTTATTGCTTAAGAAACCTTTAAAAAGTTTCCATTTTATCAATTCAAGGTTACATGATAAAGCTTGCAGCAGTATAGCTCAGAGCCATAGATGTTAGAATTTATCTGAACAGAATGAGGGGACTCTGGAGAGTGGGGTACCATGAATTGATTAGTTTGTGTATATGAGTATTTGAAAGCTAAAAGCCAGTATATGTTCTTTTCATCATACTACAGATTCTATGGATACCAGTTATGTTCACAGTTTCATATGCATATCCTTTTGGAACTATGATTATAGTTAGCTGTATGACACATTCCCAAGCCTTAGGTATGGTTTCTTGATTCTGTTTGTTGCTGACCTCTGCTACCACTGAGGTTCAAAATTTTCAAAAACTACTGTTTTGACTGTTACGTAATAATTTAATTTCTTGAGGTCCACTCTGCTACATGAATGGGCTTGTTCCAATTTATAATTTATATGAAGCTTCTGGTGTTCTTCAGTCTTTGACAATCGTCCTATAACTGCTACTATTTTAGCCCAAAGAGATCTAGGCGGGATAGTAAACCAGAAAATGAGAGGCACCCCACAAACAATTCTTCAGATGTTAGGAAAAATTCAGATCGAGAACGAAATCACCAACATCAATTGCGAGATGCAGTGTCTCATGAGGCACCATCTAGACAGGAATATAGGACAGAAAGAACTGCAAGAAAGGTATCTGACCAGAGGAGGGATGTTCACATAGAAGGAACCAAACATTCTTCTGATCCATCAGAATTACCTCAGCATCAATCTGCCAAACATTCTACAGATCAAGCAGAAGCACCCCGCTCTCGGACGTACTTTCAGGTGTCTTCTTTAATAATTAACAATTTTTGTTCATGGTACTAGAGTGTGTTTTAGTGGACATTTGCTTACAGCTTACCTGTGGTGAAATGCACTGGTGTTCTCTTTCCTCATTTCTTTTCTTCCTTTTGATGCCCATATTCTTATAACATTTTATATGCACCAATAATTTTAAAACTTTGTTTCCTCCCAGTGGATGGTTATTGTATTGCCATTGGATTGATACTCATTTTATATGCATCAATATAAATGCTAGTTCAAGTATAGAGAGAGACTAAATTGATTGGTGGAAACATAAAAGGAAAAAAGAAAGCCTCCTTTTTGGATGACGAGGGAACCCCTACAACCCTTTCAGGTGTAGGTAAACCCCGCCTTGTAACCCTAGCCAACAAAGGACCACAAGGAAGTAAACCAGCCTAAGTTACCCATAATTGACCGGCTCAAACCAAGGGGGTAAGGATTCAAACTCGTGACCTTATGGTTACAAGTGTGGATCTCTTGGCAATTTTGGAAACCTTTTCCCCTTGATCTGTTATCCATTTATCAGTACCAGAGTACCTTACTCAGGATTTGGCTATTAATGACTAAATAGCATGTTCTTTGATTTGTTGAACTTTCGTTTTGGCTGATGCATTGGAATTCTTGTTCAGCCAGTTGACTTCAAGTACCTCTGTGTATATAACACTGTTAGGCTTGCCTGTGCATTTCTTATAACAGCACGATGAACGTGGTAATGCCGGGCAAGCTGGTCGAAGCTCAAGGCGAAGAGAGTCAGATGGTGAGTTCGTCTTCAATTGCCTTCTAGCCTTCTAGGTGCCATTCTATTTTGTCCCTTTCTTGGTATTGCCATGTGTGAAACCAAACTGGGCTGTGGCGCAGGGGGGAATGTATCTTATTCATGTTCCTCTTGTGCTTTGGCATTTGGTGGACATTGTTATTCTGTTTATAGCACAATACTAATGATTTTATGCATTTATTATGTAGATTTTTGTTAATATGCCTGTGTAAAGGGGAAGGGGGATATTCAAAGTTTCTCCCTCTCTAGCATGAGCAATAACATATTTTAGTGTTCAGTACTTCAGTGTTGCATCCTCCAGTAAATTTTTTCTTCAACATGTTATTTTCCTTTTAGGGCATGGCCAATGGAGGGATGCCAAGGAGCAGGTGAACAGGAAAACAAGTAATGATACATTGCCGATGGATCAGAAAGCCAAAGTTCATGGAAAAGAAACTGATTCTTGGCGCCATGATGGGTACTATGAGTTAGAAACAAATCCAAAGCCACCTGCAAAGAAAAGATCATTTAGAGAGGAAAAGATCTCTGCAGATCCTGAGAAAGTTGAGAAAGGGGAAACAGAGGCAGCTAAGCCTAACTCCTCCAACCGCCCTGTACATGTTGAAAGAAGAAATGAGAAAAGCAGCTACGTTTCTCATCATCCAGACCAAGCTGAGAAGCAATTCAGTGGGGATAGATCAGCAAACAGGAGTGGGACATGGAGGGGGAAGTTCCCTTCAAGACCAGGTAGTAGGTACTATGAGAGCGGTAATTTTAGGGGAAGAGACAAAGTGGGTTCAAGGCCAAGCTATCGTTCAAACAAGAGTGTTGAGAAGTGGAAACATGATCTTTTCAATGGAGCGAACAAGAGTCCTCCCCCACAGAAGGAAGAAGATCAGATTGCCAAAATTGAAGCACTTCTGGCTTCATAATTGCCACAGTTGTTGGTATTCACCTTTTCCTTTACAATTCCATTGAAGAGAATATTGTGTAGGCAAAGACCAACTAGCGTGTTTTATTCACCCACAGGCTGAAAGCCTTTTCTATTGCTCTCTACTGAAGCTAATTATATCAAGTTGTGTACTTTGTTAAATCAGTAAAATGTTAACCGTAGCAGCCAGCTTAAATTCTGGCAGCTGTTTTTTTGTTTTTCAAATTGGGGTAGCAATCCTACTTCATCAATTTTTCATTGAATCCAAAAAGGTTTGTTTGGACATTTACATCTTCACTAATTTATTAAAATAAATGAACTTATTTGTACTTTTTAATATTTAGTCCTTTTTCTAATAGCTGAGAGCCAGGTAAAATGGGTATTATCTCCATCACTCACAAAGAGGAAAAAATGCAACATTACATAGCTGTTTTAAATTTCCATCAACTTTTATCTTAACTTAGCATTTAAAGATCTAAAACATTAAACATAAGCCAGGAGGGTAGAGTTGAGTAAAGTTGGTGGACATTCAAATATATAATATATAAATATAATATAATACAAATAAATAGGGAGTAATAGTGAAGGCCTAATTTGTTTCATATAAATTAATTAGTAAACAGATTGAATAATGTTGAACCCTGCAAGCCTAACTTGCTTAACAACTGTGATGATTTATCTATCTTATCTATCTATCTTGTGCTTCTTCATCTGCTGAGGATCGGAACTGTGTTGTTGAGTATTATCTGCTGCTTCAGAAAGTTGATGATCTTGCAGATGCTTCATGTCCCCTTGGCTGTCTGGAAATGAATTTGAGACTTGATGCTGATGATTTGGAAGCACTTCACTTGTTGTTTTTGGTTGTGATTGCGATATTGTGGAGCTTCCCAACATGTCTTTAGTAATAGGAATGGGCATCCCGGTGACCCGATGACTCCTACTTCCCATCATAATAACCCCTTCAGCAAACGATACGGTTCTCTTGATAGGAGGAAGCCCAAACGATACGGTTCTCTTCACCTGTATAGGAGGAAACCATGTCTCGTGAACCACATCCAATGACGAAGATGACAAGTTTCTCCTCAGACTCTGGTGAGTAGGAGTATGGTTACGAGGAGGACTTGAATCATAAACCGGCTCTCTTCGTTCACCCCCCTCCTCCTCAACTGCAGCTTGCCCCGATATGCCATTCTCTGCATCACACCCACTCGAGGAGGATGAGGATGAGGATGAGGACGAGGATGAGGACCTTCTTTCTTCAACACTAGCTCCTGTTTTCTCTTCTTTCTCAACAAAGATCCTTTCCACACTTTCTAACTCCGACTTAAACTCACCATGCTTTTCCGGTCTCATTACAATCTCATCCACGAAAATATTTCTCAAACGACTCCCCAATTCTTCTTCTTCTTCTTCCTCAGAAGACTGACTTCCATGCCCAACATCCTCAGAAGCTCGTTCTATCTTAGTTATCAGCACTGCTTCTTCAAACATACGCTCATCATCCATCACTTTCTTTTCTTCCCTATCCCTTACATCAACCTTCTCTTCTTCTTCTTCATCCTTGACAACATTCTTGTCTTCCAAATCCTCCCTATTTGAGTAGCTTGTTCCTTCTGGAGCAGATATCTGCTCCGCAGCAAAGTAAGATTCATCTCGTTTACCAAAGATTGAGGGCACTACATTTAAAAACTCACTCTCCTCGAACAATGTAGTTGTTGTTGTTGTTTCTTTAGGTTGAAAATCTAAAAAATCTAATCCGGAATTATTATCTCCAGTTTTGTCTTGTTCATCAGAGTAATATGGAATATCGAAAGGGTTTTGCCTAGGTATTAAAATAGATGGAGCTGATCCAGGGATTGGAGGCAATCCCTCTTCGTAGGAATCAGGCAGACTATCGAAAGGATTGTGCCTTGGCCTTGTTGTCACAAAGGGAGGACCACAGCTCTCCAACTCCTTCCCTGATCCCATCATGCTCATGCTCACCCACTTTCTCGACCTTCGTCTTGCCATAACACTCTCTAATAGTTGGTTTCTTTCGAGCTCAGAGCTTCGCACTTCCATCATATTCTTCTCGTCTTCCTCGGTCCACTTTATTGCACTCTTTGTTAGTTCTTCTTTATCCCCTTCTTCCTCGTCTTCCTCTTCCTCTTCAACTTGTAATTCGGTTTTTTCTTCTTCACTGCTATCATTGGACCTACAAAAATGCTCACAACTAACATCATCCACAGGAGGCCCGGGGGGAGCATCTGAATCTAAAAGCGGATGGAGCTCATCATCAAGCATTGGTACAATCTCGGGAGAAGAACTCCCGGATTCATCAGACCCCGAATCATCCTTGTGTTTTGGCAGTTTAGAATCACAGGAACCTGATTTATGAATTTCAACCTCAGAACTCAACAACTTTGGAATGGGCAAACAATGATCCTTCTTCAAAACAAACCCATCACCATTTAGTAGCTCAAATCCTTGCTGTGACCTCTCAGTATCATCATCCTCAGAACTATCTTCCTCAACTTGTTTACTTGTTTCCTGTCTTTGCACAACACTAACATTATTTGATATCTGAGTCTTAAAATGCAGTGTTTCCTCTCCTCCTCCTCGGATTTCGGGAGGTGCTTTTTTCTGGCTAAAACTAAGCAATGCTCCAAGCAAAACACCAGTACAGAAAATAATAGGAGAGGCAGATACTAATAAGGAAAACACATAAGGAAATGATCTGTACACAACTCCCAATAAGCACAGCATAATCATAACAAATGGATGCTTGCAGGCTGCTCTAAAGCATGTTCCTATCCGAAAGGCCACACTTTTCACACCCATCTCTCTCAACACTCAACACTACTCCTTTCCCATTCAAATCTGTATGTAAATAAAAAACATCAATAAAACAACACATACAAATATATGGAAATGCATTATGTAAAGAATTCAATATTAATTTTCTGGGTTTTCTGGAAACAGTGGAACATCAAAGGTAGAAACTTTTGGTGAATATTACAATAGCCACCACCAAAGTGGACAGGACAGGACAAGAAAAATACACATATGAGATACCTTGTAAGTCTGATACAATGTTGTTATAATATAAACCCTGTTTTCTGCAACCCAGTTCCTTCCTCCAAATATGTTTTGAAAAAAAATGAATCAAAACAAAAAAATTCACAGAACAAGGTGGGTTGAGAGAAGTATTAATTTTCTTTCTTTCTTTTTTTTTTTTTTTTTTGGTCCTATAAAGAAAGAAAGAAAGAAGGAAAAAATTAAAAGAATATATACAAGAAAAAGTGTGGGGTTAGCAATAATTATCGGAGAAGTTTATGGGAAATTAGGCATTTGGTTCTCATTTTATCCGAAATTAAAGCAGTCCCACAGTCCCTCCCACCCCATGCCACGCATAATGCAAATAGAGAGAGAAGTTTCAAATAGGGATCTGGTATTAAGTTTCAATTTTCAAACAATACAATCAGACAAAGAATAAGCGGCCCGATCAAGTCCTTGAACCACTCCATTCGTTAATCGCTTAATTAAAGAGAAAAATACATTAAAACTTCTCGCTAATACTTTTATATCTTCAATAAGCAATTCAGAAGGAGCATATTTTAATTCTTGAGAAACAACCTGTACGTCCATCTCAATTTAAACGTGATCTAATCTCAAATCCTTTATCCAGCTAAGTGCTTTAAGGATTCCCAGAGCTTCATCTTCCTTCACCCCCACATTGTTATTTTTCGTTTTTCAAGTTGAGTTGACAGTTTGACACCCACCGTTGGCAAGGAAGCAATGCCGAGCTTTTGCATTTTGTATTGCACACAAATATCTTTATTACACAGAGAAGAATAACATGGGCATTTGGTCTAGTGGTATGATTCTCGCTTTGGGTGCGAGAGGTCCCGAGTTCGATTCTCGGAATGCCCCATTTGCACTCTCTTTTGCTGCTCAGTTAACGCCTGACAGAAGTAAGAGTGCAAGGATGTACATTAGAACGAATCGAGATGTATATTGATAGAATAATTACACAACAAATTGATGTGCGGGCATTTGGTCTAGTGGTATGATTCTCGCTTAGGGTGCGAGAGGTCCCGAGTTCAATTCTCGGAATGCCCCATTTTTGTTTTTCGTAAGCAGCTAATTATGCAGTTTTATTTACCTGTCAAAATACCCCTATGAATCACTCTGGTTGAACAGTATGTGTCTGCATTTGGTTTAGTAGTATCCTTCTTGCTTAGGGTGTGAGAGATCTTGAATTCAATTCTAAAGTGTCCAATTTTTACTTTTTATAAACCGCTGGCAATTTCCAATCTTCATTATTCTAGAGACATAAGGCTTTCAGTTGTTTAGGTTCACTTTTGCAGCAGGCACATTCAAGCAATATATTTTTGGAAAGTTATATATTCTCTAGTTCTTATATCATCCAATATATATATAGTTCCGTTGAGCATGCACATTGAGTTGTTGATTTAATCTAAATCAACAGTCTTGACAGTTCCGTCACAAGGCCCTTGGTTATGGGATTGTATCGCAGGTTCAAACAGTGTTTTCGTGAAATTTTGTATATTTTATTTAGAAAATATATTTTCTGAAAAATATTTAATTGTTTTGTATATGCCTATTAATACTTGTGGTTAAAATGTTTTATGAGTTGTGAATGCCATGTTTGGAAACCATTATTTTGAAAATTGGTTATATGTGTGTGTGTGTGTATATATATACACACATTTGTGAAGGGTAAATTTTTTATAGCCTAAGAGAAATGAGCATTGAAAAATACATACATTATTTTGGAGGATATTATTTAATGTATAAATGTATTTGGATGAATATGTTACAAAATTATATTATTTTGGGAGAGTATATGTGAAATGTATTATTTTTGGAGGAAATGATACAAAAATGTAAATTGTTTGGAGGATATGTGAATTGTATCTTGTAGAAAAGATCCTGGATACTTTATGTGAGAAATGATCTTGGTGAGCTCTAGCTCTATTATAGGCTGCGGTCCTATTTTGAGATATATCCGGTAGAAAACATCATGGATATTCATTTGATGAGTAACCTAGTAGAAAACATCATGGGTTACTAGGACTGGTTTAATGTATTAATCGTTGAGCTTGAAATCTCAATTTGGGGTTTGCACACTTAAGGTATCGGTCATGTTTCCACCTTGGTAAAATAGATGTTTTGTGATGTGTTCAGTAGGTAGTTATTGTTCACCTACGACTTTGTTGTGGTGATGTTCCTACCCCACTAGTGAGATATGAATTCCTCCTTATGTGTATATGGTACTGGATTACTGGAAAAATGTTTTGAGAAATGTGTTTTAAATTCCTTCAGAGTTAATTCCATTTTTTGTCCTAGATTTATAGGTGTCAGTCCACTTTTAGTCTTTTTTTTTATCAGAACATCCCTTTTAATTTGGTCATAGTATTATTGTGACATGACTAATTTTGGTCATCTATCAAAAAAACCATTGAAATTTTGTTAAAAACAAGGGCATTTTGTTATTCAATTATGAATTTTTTCAAAAAATAAAAAATAAACATAAAAAATATAACGGGTCAACGCACTTTGTATTAAAAAGGTCAAAATATCCTTCTATTTAACGAAATTTCAACGATTTTGTTGATAGATGACCAAAATTGGTTGTCACGAATAACATTAGGACCAAAAGATGATGTTTTGATAATAAATAAAAAAATAAAAATAAAAAAAAAATAAAAAAACTATCACCTATAAATCTAGGACCAAAAACGGAGTTAACTCAATTCCTTGATAACTATGTTTATCTATGTATATGTATGAGATCAACTACTACGGACTAGTGGACTACCCATGTGGAACTCTGATCTTCTATATACGGCTCTACCTCAAATAGTCCTAAATCAGTCCCGGGCAAAATCCCATTTCCGATCATCATCATGCGTAATAATAATCTCCATTTCCCGGGACCCACACCCACTCTTCATCATATCATCTTGATTAGAGAAGGAAACATCCTGGAAGCATCATATTTTGTTAGTTTGGGTTATCGTACTATACGTGGATAGATGTATCATATATATATATATATATATATATATATATATATATATATATATATATATATATATATATATATATATATATATATATATATATATATATATATATATATAGCTTAGAGCAAGTTTGGTTATTCTGCAAGGTCGGATCGGAGTGGAAGAGCATTCAATTAACAGATCGATCGAGTTGGGGAGATCATATATATCGCCGGATCGGAGATCCGATCCGATCCTGCAGGAAGCTAAGCTAGGCAATTAAGGCAGAAATGGCTAACGTGATAATGGTGGTTTTTGAGGGAGTACGGCATTGCGTTTCCGCGCTTTGGGATCTCCAAGAAATGCGCTTTTCTGCCATTTTCGACGACTTGACCTACTTCGCCATCTGCGTAATCATGGCTGCCGTTTCATGCTATGTGGCACTCAGACAAGGCTGAAAGCTGCAGCTGCAGCCTGATCGATGATATCAACTTCACTTCTTCTTTTTTTTTTTTTCTTTCTTTTTTTTTTTTATTAATATATGATAGATGTATTTCATTGAGTATAACTTCCTTTAAGTGTATAAATTTTATTGAGTATAACAAAATTATTTTTTAGATCAATCGCATCTCAACAGAAAATAGATAATGAAGTAGAAAGTTGGAGTAGATGTAGTATTACTTTTTTTTTTTTGTCATGATAAAGAGAGAATATTGCAATCGTTATGTTGTGAACGCGTGCCACCTTGCATGGTGTGCACGAATCTATATTCATAATTCCTATATTGTAGATCCATATTTTCTATACCGTAGATCCATAATTTCTAAATTCTCGGTGAGCTAAAATTTATACTTTAGATTCATAATTTCTAAAACCGTAAAATTCATAATTTAAATATAGTAGATCCATAATTTCTATACTGCATTGATTTGTGAAAACATGGTTCAACAATTAGAATAAAGTATAAATTTTAACTCACTAAGATTTTAGAAATTATGAATCTACAGTATAAAAATTATGAATTTACAATATAAAAATTATGAATATAGATTCGTACACACTGGACAAGTACTCACTAACATAATTTGAGGTGCCATTCTTACTAATGACATAGGGGTCATTGGACATTCATCCCACGATGAATTCAACACGCCAAGCACGCACAATTGGCCCATTAGTGCGGACGCGTAAATAACCATTTTTCTCATTTTTCTTTTTGACACCCTTATGTCCTTTTCTTTTTCCTTCATTTTTTTTTTCTCCCATCTTTCTCCACGTGACCAAAATTCTACAAAATCTTTTAGCAGTTAAAAGATGCTCTTATATGTCACCTGATATTTTGTATTTGAAAAGATATTTGTAGTGTTTGAAAATATCAAGAAGATTGAAAGGTTGAAATTCAATGCGGATGGGGATATATATGTGTGTGTCATCAATTGATTCGTTTTAACAGAAATACTGCTGGAACATGTTGCGTAAAACGAGTGATTTACGTCTATTTCCAGTTACATCGTAATAAAAGATCAGATTATGATTTTCATTCTCATGTGTGAACCAAACATACCTTTTAAGTGATAATGTTAAATAAGATTCGGATGTTATTTACTTAATTTGAAGAAATATAATATTAAAAGAGTTTTTATTCGACGTTAAATCTTCACTTTCAACCACTATAAATAACAATTTTTATTGTTAAAGACATTATGATCAATCGGCATGGAGTGACTCTTTCAAATGGAAGAATATAAGTTTGGGGTAGTTATGTTGTGCATCCGTATACACTATGCATGGTGCATACGGATGCAAAAA